CAGCTGCAGAAAGATATAGAAGATCTCAGATTGGAAATAAAAAAAGAAATCCCTGAATTAATAACAACTGCACTAAAGAATCAAATGTAGAAACATATGGAAAAAACCCAGTGACCACCCAGAAGAAGTGCAGAGTACACTAGCTTGGCTCAAATGCATGAATTAATAGCGTCCATAGTAAATAAGCAACAGCAGAAAGATATAGAGGAAATCACAGTGCAATTCTTTTCTGAAATGAAAAAAGAACTTTCAGAACTCATAGCATCTGAAGTAAAGAAGCAACTACAGAAACACAGGCAGTAAACCCAATCTGAAAAATACATTGCAGTAAAAGAATTTCTAACTGCTTCTAAAGAAGATATTGATAAAAAATAGAGGAGATTAGAAAAATGATGGATTCCTTGCATGAGCAATACAGGAAAGAAATAGATCACATGAAACAGAGTCAAAGAGATGTAGAGGAAGTTAAAATCTCAATCACAATCTTGCAAAACCAATTAAGTGAATGTGAAGACAGAGTTTCAGATCTTGAAGATGCTGGTGTAGCTAGAGAAAAAGTAAGAAAGGACCTCTTAAAAACAACGAGGATGCAGGAAAAAATAATCCATCACCTGCAAGATGATGCAAAGTTGAAAAATATGGGATTAATAGGCATCAATGAGAAGGAAGAAGATAACACAAATGACATTAAAAAATATGGGCAGAAGTGATAGCAGAAAATTTCCCAAATATGAGGAAACAATCTGACATTCAGGTGACTGAAGCATACAGAACCCAAGAAGCCCCAACCCAATGAAAAACACAACGAGACGTATAATAGTCAAGATCCCAGAAATTCAGCACGAGAATAATGTACGGAAAGCCGCTAGAGAAAAGAAGCAGATCACATTCAAAGGAAAACCCATCAGAATTACGATGGACTTCTCTTCACAAACCATGTAGACAAGAAGAGCAAGGAGCGAGTACTTCAGGTCCTCTATGAAAACAAATTCCAGCCCAGACTACTATACCCTGCAAAATTCTCTTTAAAGTTGGGTGGAG